CGAAAGCATATTGACAAAAGGCTAAATGATCATTTTCTTACATCGGAGGAGAATGTTCATTTTTCGATTTAAAACTTACTTTTTACGATTTACTAATTGTTTGGCTTAGTTATTTTTTTATTATGGAATATTGTTTCCATTGAGAGAGCACATGATTAATAAAAATGAAATTGATTAATGATAATGAAATGAAAAATAAATAAATAGATACAAGAAATTATATAGCAGGATTATGAAAAAATAATAGAAAGAGAGATGATATCAGGTACGTAAATCTTAGAAATGATACGTTATTAATAGCAAGATCGAAGTTTCAATAATAATTAATTAATTATTTTTCATCAAAATAGTTCTCGTATATATAGAGATAAAGAAAAAAATCTATGTTAATTCTGTCAGGGGTTATGTGATTTAACAACATTATGGGGTTAAAAAGAAGTAAAAAAATGTATATTTGTTTTATCATTCGTGATAAGATCTTCGATCAAATGATATTAGATGTTAGTATGAAAATAATGTAAACGGTAGAACACATAACGGTACATACGTAAGATGATTTATTATAATGTCACTCGCAGTTCGATGATTATTACTATTTACTTCAAACTTTGACCACTGATGTGTGATTGGGGTTTTATATTGTTATAATTATATATTTCTCCAATATATTAACTAATGTGATCAATTAAGTTAATGTATTGATTAAAAAGAGAATAATCCAGTAGAATAATTCAACAGCAGAAGCAGCAATATGCAGTATTTCTTGAGCATTGCATAGAATAGTTCTTTCTTTTTTTTTTTCTTTTTTTTTCTTTTTTTTCTTTTTTACAACATAAGAATGGGCTAGCTAAACAAAAGAGAATATAAGGTGGGCCGGCCTTAAGTTTATGGGAAATTTTAAAAATTAATTATCTGTTGTCTTTTTTGACATTTATGCTAATTATTTGATAGTCTCAGATTATAAGATTACAAGTTTATCTTATAAATCATAGATCTAACTACGAGTCTACAAAATCTCTTAATCTTTAAGATATCCTTAGAACTTCTTGCCCATCCCCCATAAAAACGAATCCTTTATAATTATAAATGTATGCACTTCTTTTTAATTTGGAAATATTCAAGTTGTGCTTGTGTGTCTCGTATATTTTCTAACATTTATCTCGCGTAGAGTCCGGTTTTATTATAACCGGCATTAAATATATGATTTGTTCTTAATATAATTCATAAGTTTTTCAATGAAGATTTCGATATATTTTCGATATATTTTCGATATATTTTCGATATATTTTCGATATTAAGTGATCGATTTAGATGTGATACTAATAGATCATGTATTTGCATATATGCTTTAATGGTATTTCTTTATATTTACACAAGGCATGTATATTGTGTTTTTATTCGCGTTAATCATTAGTGAATATTTATGTTTATTCATATTTGTCATCATACACTTTGATAAGGAAAGATATATCCTTTAGATAACATGACGCAAATACAAATGTATGTATGGCCGCTCTATTCTATTATAAATCTTGTTTCTTTTTTCTAGAAGAATTTGTTCGAAATATTTGAAATTTCATTCATTTGGATGATGTAAAGTAAATTTAAGATTAAATTTAACAGTAATCGCGAAATAATGATGTATTTAATGTATCAGATTTACTGTTAAATGTTTATATACTATATTTATAATTATATTATTGTATCTTTTTTGCATTTGAAATATTATATCTATACATATATATAGATACAGATACAATTTTATTTACATTTAATTGCGTCGGAAAGCGGCCATAACTAATAACGTGTGTGTGTCATATTCCGAGACAATAAAAAATATATTTCTGCGTCATAGAGAAACAGTAAAGTTTGCTAGTCTGTTTTTGTATAACTTTAGATTGACATTGCTAAGTATTAGAAACAGTTGATAAAAGTATCAATTGAATAATAATCTCGTAACAGTAAATAAAAATAATTAACGATTCAGATAAAATAAAATAGATATAAATTATATTCGAATTTTCCCATATTTATATCATTTCTTGAAGAAAAAAAAAACAATAACAACAAAAATAAGAAGAATAATTGCAACGTGGAGAGGTATTCTCCTCCCCCCTACGCTGATTAATTAAAAATAGTTGCCCAAAATCCACTTTGGTTTTTTTGATTTAAAAGTTTAATTTTGTATGGAAAGCAGAAGAAAAATTAGAATAAAGAGAGAAAAAGAGAAAAAAATAGAAAGAGAGAGAGAGAGAGAGAGAGCGAGAGAGAAAGTGAGAGAAATATGTAATTTTACCAACGTATAAATTACTTATGATACAGTTGCGTTGAATAAAAAAAAAGAAAATAATAAACGCGAAACTATATGTTATAATAAAAAGTGGACAAACATTTATTCGAAGTAAAAAATAAATAATATAGTAAAGAGAGATATAATAATGTAAAATATAATATTTCGTAGAATCAATGGTAAATCTTTATTACGTTTGTTTAATCTATTATTGTGTTTTTATTGATTTTTTTATGATTTAGCATTTATTTTTTAATTTGACGACTACCATAAAGAACACTGATTGACTTACGTAAGAGCTTTTATTGTTATTGTGTCATAATCCTTTTCATCGTTCTTGCCGATCCTGCTAAAATCCTTCATCTGATGAATACGTTCTTCATTTCTTTCAAATAATAAAAAAGGTTATTTTTTGATCATTTATTATTTTTAATACTATCTTTTTAATATGTATTTCATCTTATTACCTAAATTAGAATGATTATTTATTATTAATTTACTAACTCTCCAGCTGTAAATATTATGATATCAAGGAAATTTATCTTGTAAATTTTCGCTGAAACAGAAATTGTCGAAACCTTGTCGAACATGATCTTAAACAAAAATTTATTAAATCTTTTAGCCTTGTAAACTTATATTAATATTGTTATAAAAGATTTAATATATATATATATATATATATATATTTATTTTTCTATCTATATAGATTTCTTTAATAAGAATAAATCTTTTGATAGGCGAATATTTCATTTAATTTGTTTAAAAATTGGTCCAACGGTCCGTTCTTTATTTGTTTAGTCTGATTATTGGTATTTTCCTTGTAAGCTGTGGGTGGTAATATCTATCAGTCCTTTCGCGCGACAAGAAGATAAGTGCTGGTTACTATATATGTATATTAGGTATTTTATATTTAATTAAAAACTTATCCTCTTGCTTCGTTTTTTTTTTGTTTCTTATATTTTTGTGATATCTCTTCCTTACCTCCACCGAGGAGAATTATCAATGATAAACAATTATTTACAATTAATTAATTAGCGTAACGGAGTTACCAAATTGTAATAATTGTTGTATAATTCATATCAATAACTTGTAAAAATACAAGTATTTCTTGTTTTTTTATTTTACGCTAACATTTTGTAAATTCGTTGGATAAGTTTTGGACGTTTTGCGATCGCACATAATATCTGCGGACACAATATATTTCATTAAAAGATTATTAACAATTAGATCGTTCAATTCGATAAGCCTCTCGAAAGATAACATAAGCGGTAGAATGAAGTGCGTCATAATAATTCCTAGCTATCTCGAAATTATAATTAATATAAATAATTATTTAAATACGCAGAAGTGTATATATATATATATATATTTGTGTGTGTGTTTGTGTTTGTGTTTGTGTCACATATTGATGATAAACATTCCTTAAAACAAATAGTGTCAAAAAAAAAAAAAAGCGGAATTTGCTCCGGAGAGTTAAAGTTTCTCTTGTAAATTCCTCTTTGGTTTTCTTTTTTTTTTTTTTTCATTTTCTTTTATTCATTAAGTAGAAAGAGGAATTCAATATTGTTTTTGTTAGGAGCGAATATTCGTAAAATAAAAATCTTACTAAATAAAGATGGAGAAAATCGGCGATTTTCTAAAAAGAACGAGGTCAATTCTCGAGGTCAATAGTCGAGGTAAAAAGCACTGTTTGTCTATTTTTCTTCTTTCAATTGTTTCTTTTCTTTTTGAATCTCTCGTACATGTATCACTATTATTATGTATTGTCAATTTAAGCGAAAATCCAACTTTTAGTATTACATATACATTACTTCAAATAGAATTATCGTACTTCTTGCAAACTCTGTATTCATGTAGCTCTCTTAATTTTGTCCTATACTCTCGTTTACATCGATATATAAATAAACATATTATTTTTCTTTGTTATGAACACTATGATCTTTGTTTAAAGGTCTAAACCGTGTTCAAGATACGATACATTTGGTCCACATATATACCCTGCTAAAAATTTGATTCGTAACAATGAAATAACGAACGAGGAGAGCCTGATAATAACGAGCTATTATAATTCTTGCATAGCATGTTTAATAGTTAAATAAATTAAAAAAACATAAAATAAATCCAAAGAATTTCGTTCAATCAAATATTAGAATAAGTTAAGAAAAAAATTGTAAGTATACAAAAGCATAATTGAGGTCTGGTGATTGATTATGAACATAGTCATTCGTTGAAGCATTATTTTATGTAATATTAACATTTTAAATGAACACGCGAGACAAAATATGCCTTTTTTAAAATGTTCAATAGTTTAGAAGAAAATTTGTATAAACACCAGCTTATACAATTGTATTCTTCATGATTGTTTTTTCTTTTCTTTTTTTTTAGGAATGTTCCAGTGGTGGAAATTTTTAGCAGGGCAAATACACCGATGAAACTATAATCGATATCACCGGAACATGGAGATAGCATCGATCTCATTCTAATTGTGACATTAGTATTTTTATTATTGTCGAGTCGAGAGAAATGAAACGTTTTGATTTGGAAGAAACGGTAGGTAAGCAGCATTCAACATTCAACATTTCAATTCATACAATCACAAATTCATTCATTATAGGTTTTACAAGTTGTATCATTTTTACATTTGTTTATATTCATTCGCTCTTTCATTCATTTATTCATTCATTCATTTATTCATTTATTCATTTATTCATTTATTTTCTTTCTCTCTTTCTCCCCTAAACGCTTTCTAAATGATCGCTTCTTATTTATTCGTTTTACTCATCAACTTAATCATTTTGTTTTGTTTTCTTTTTTTTCCAAGTTCTTTTCAGGTATCAATAAGATACATTTTTCAAGCTTGCTTTGGATGAGGCGTTGGAGTAGATGGTTCTGATCGAAAACATACAAGGAGGAAACCAGTATACATTCCAAAGACCAGTGTAGTGGCTATCAGGATATACATGTAGATGTTCAATTCTGGTTGACGATATCTGTTTTTACGAAGCCATTCTAGAACTTCGTCTTCTTTGTGAAGGTCACCTTTAAATTAAAAGTAATTATATGAGCCATTTATGTTGAAAGTGAAAATATCAAGTCTTCATTTGTTTATAATACCTCGGTAAATGCTGGGAAAACGTTTACGGAAGTAAACGATAGCCGGAAGTTTAGTAACACCCCATTTTCGAGCGTACCTTGGATCTGCCATTTTAACAAATGTTATATCTAAATTGTCCGTTTCTCCGTCTATCGTTTCTAATTTTTCATGAACTTCTTCGCTTTCTGTATTGTTATATTCATCTGAGGATAAAAATCAATCAAAAGTTGTTTATTACAAATGTAATTATATTTGTATGGTTATCAATCAAAATTACTTACAAAAGAATACAGCCAAAAATTCATTTTCATCTAACAATTTGTCGAGCATCTTTTTGTTTACTTCTTCGATTTCATTTTTAATCTCAAAAACGTCTTGAGAAGTAAGCCATTGTAAAATTTTGTCTTCTTGGGTAAGATCGCCGTCGTAAATAAGAGGTGTTCTTTTACGAAAATATACCAAAGAAGGTACATTTAAAATGTTATATTTTTCCGCAGTTTCGGTACTCGATATTTTCACAAAATCTATCCCAAAAAGATCAGCTTCGCCATCGATCTTCTCCAATGATTCCATTATTTCGTCACATTCTGCACAATCTTCGTCATCTATTTGATGATATACCATTAAGGTATATCAAATATTATTTCATTTTATTATTTTACATTTTCTTCTTAATTTTATATTTTTTATATATTTCACTTTATGTTCTAACATATTTACAGATGTTTTTTTGTTAAATCACTCACAAAAAAAGACAGCTAAAAATGGCGATTCATCCAAAAGTCTCTCCAACATCCTTTCGTTAACTGATTCAATCTCATCGGCCAATTCTCGATTATCATCATCAATTAACCATTCCAGGACTGACTCTTCATTTTGAAGATCACCTAAAATGTACAAGAATTTATATTTAACTTTATCATTTTATAAAATACGATGAAGTAAAAAGATAGAGTAATTGTCAAAGACCTTCGAACAAAAGAGGATTGCCATTACGGAAATAGACAAGAGCAGGAAAAGTTTTAATGGAATATCTTTTCGCTAACTGTGGATCTTGAATTTTCACCAAGTGTATACCAAAGACGTCACATTCATCGTCGACCCTTTCTAAACCTTCTAATATTTCGTCGCATATATGACAGTTTTGTTTGTCTGAAATAAATAGTTGTCTGAAAATATCTTGTGTTTTATCGTTGAATGTTTAACTTCAAGTTCAAAGAAAATCTTACAGAAATAAACAGCAAGATACTGTGTTTCTTCAACAAAGGCTTCCAACATTACTCGAGTTATCAGTTCAACACGATCTTCAGTCTTTTGTGTGATCAGCCATTGCAATACTTCCTCTTCTACGGACAAGTCACCTATAATCAAAACATTAGAAAGTCTAAAATTTTTAAGTGCATAGAGAAAGAACTTTCTTTCTTAAGAAGTGCACATAATACACAAACCTACCTTCGAATACATTGGGTATTTGATTTTCAAAATAAACGAGGACTGGAAAATCTGTAACACCGTAATCCTCAGCTACTTTGTGATCCTAAAAGTGAACAGATCTGTGATTTTACGTTTAGATACAATTTTGTTAAACAGTATAATGTAGGTAGTAATATTTAAATATCATACACATATTTACCTGTGTCTTTATAAAAGTAATACCATGTCTGTCACAATCGTCGTCTATATTTTCTAATTCTTCTAGGATTCCCATACATTGTTCACAATTGTCGATGTCTATAAAAATTATTAAATCATTGAAACATATTTGTGATATAAATGGATGCTTAATATTTCGAGGAAATCATTATATTTGATTTTTATGGTAACAAATGAAAAGTAAACAAAGAAATGGATTATATTTGTGACGTTGCTTGCGATTGAGCATGCCATTTAAGAGCGAAGTTATGTCTACCGTGCAGAAAGATAAATAAACGGTAAATAACAACATTTTTTGGTCACACTGTTTACAACAGATTCTGCAGGGGTGGATGGGTGGTTTTTTACTACACTATTATTACTATTTGAACGTAACATGCTTAAATGCTCGTGCACCTATATATATAAACAGTTGTGTCATGTATGTTAAAATATCTATAAAAAAATTGAAAATTGAAAATATTCTTGAAAAATTGTTGAACAGACGGTGATATAACGGAGTAGTTTTAATTTTTTTCTCTATAAAAAATCTTAAGTTTGTATTTTTTTTCTAAAGGTCATGGAAGTTTTTATTTTAATTATAATTAGTTAACTAATGCACGTATTAACTGTACGTGTGTTTTGTTTGTTGTTGTTGTGTAGTAGTAGTAGTAGTAGTAGTAGTAGTTGTACATATGCATGATAGATATATTATATGTATCTTCACATAATTACGTAAAGATACAATGACAACAATAATCAGGATCATTAATCGTTCTATAAATTTTGTTGTTGGTTTCTTTGTGGTTTTTTTTATTTGTACCGTCAACATCCTCGGTTGTCTCATGTTCGTTGATCCTGTGCTCCCTGTGCCGTGTCTGCTTACGATGCATTTTTGCTTGACACATGTCGCAAAGCGTTCTGTTCCCTACGACATTATAGTATACACGTGTACACCACTTTTGGACAAATTATTTAGATCAAATGAATGTTTTATTCGTTGAGTATATCATCTAAAGAAAAGGAAATTATTTAAACACAGAAAAGATCTTTCTACTTTTGCTACTATTGCAAGTTATCGTATGCAACACGTTCTTAATGTCAATTCGGACAATCAAAGATTTTGCTAGATTCGTTTTTTCATAAGATACATATTTACATATGCAGGATAAAACATCAAATTTAATCATTTAAAATAACTTTTAAATTATATATTGTACAACAAATTATTCTTATATATGCCTTACCCTGTATCTACATAAGTAATATCTTTTCGATAGAATAATCGGTCGGATATCTAAAATTACACTCATTTTTTTCTGTTTAATTTTAAATATTACTTCTTTTTTTTTTCCTAGTGTATACATAGAGAACAGCGAAATTTATAATAAATAATAGCAGTTGTGATTGATTTGAGAGCGTTAGTCACATGAAATATATGTATTATTAGTTTAATTATATAGACAGAATTTAGTTGATAAAAAGCGATTTAATTATGAATGCGTATGTATGTGCGGATGCGTGTGTTTATATGCTTGTTTATTTTCTAGTAATTTAATTACTTTTGCAATTGCAAGGTTTTTTTTTTTTTTTTTACAAAAAAGCCGTAGTTTAATATACTATATAATATATACATATATTTAAATGAAATAAATTTTCGCGCCTTGATAGATTCTTTTAAGAATCAATAGCTGGCGCTTCGATCGACCCATCAATTTGCAGCGTTTCCGACGCATGCGCATAAATTTTCTCCTTTATTAAGTAGTAGAACGCACGGAAGAAATAGATAAAATATAATAAGGTATTTTTGAATTTAATTAAAATATAAATATTTAAAAACTTACAGAAATATACTGCCAAAGACTCGGATTCTCGAATTAAATTGAGAAGTTCTTCTCCATCCAAAGCTTCGATTGCCTCTCCTGATGGATCCTTTTGCGTCATTAACCATTGCAAAATCTGTTCTTCGTCATATAGATCTCCTTCAATGGCATACGAGAAATAGAAAATTAACAGGTATAAATATAATGTAATTATTTACTACTATATCAAAAATTATCATGAATATATTGTAGTATGAATAATTTGATTTTTGAAAAAAAACCGCGGTTTTTCAAAATTAACAATTTGCAGATGGCGTTGATGATCGTCTTCTATTTCTAACGGATTCGTTTGATTTTGAAATACTTGTTACTAGTTATTGCATTTATAATGAATTATTCTTACCAGCAAATATCACCGGTTCTTTTGATGTCATTTTAAAGAAAAGGATCCCTGGTAACGCAAATACTCCGTAATGTTTAGCGAGTTCCTTGTCGTCAATCTTTACAAATTTGATTCCTGCATTATCAGCTTCGTCGTCGATGTGCTCGATTTCTGCCAGAACTCTACTACATTGTTTACAATCGTTGCTGTCTAAACATGCACATATAGTGATGAATTTTTTAAAACATAATTTACATTCTATTTATTGATTTATATAAAAATCAAGCTTGCAAAATTATTTCTCAGTTATTCTGTGTATTAGGTCGATTCATAGTCATGTATAATTTTGGATTTAACATTATATTTTGTTTTTATTACACGCTAAGAAGACTACAAAATATGATGTTAATTTAGAGAGCGAGAGAGAGCGCAATAAAAAACGTCTTTACTTAGGTTAGTAGCCTTTTGTTTTTTATAACATCAGTGTAGTAGTAATCATCGTTAAGGATTAATATTTAATTTGAATAGTTGAATATATATATATATATATAGATATTTACTCACAAAAAAATACAGCCAAGTAATCTGTACTTTGACGTATTTTATAAAACATCTTCTTGTTTATTCGTTCGATATGATCCGTTAATTCCATGTTATCAGGATCAGTCAACCAATCAAGAATCTCTTCTTCGTCATCGATATCACCATCATAATTAGTACTTTTACCTTTTCGGAAATAAGTTATACCAGGCGGGTTTCTATAACCATATTTTTTGGCCATTAAACGATCCTTCATGCGAACTATTTTAATTCCATATTCTGCAGCTTCGTCATCAATCAACTCAATGTGTCTGAGTACTCGAGGACTTTCCGGATCTTCTTCTTTGTCTATGAATAATATGTTTGAGAAGAAAACCACTTGAATGTGTATTTCATATGGTATTATATTATTTCCACAACGTTCACAATTGATTCAACGTCGTCAACGATTGAATTGAAGAAGAGAAGATATTTTGAAGGTAAAAAAGGTTTAATTTAGTTTGGGTTAATATTTGAACAAATGTTAATTCAATTCTCGAGAAAATCTATCGCGTTGGTCAATAAGTAATCAGATAGATCAACATAATTTTATCGAAAATTAATAAAAATTATCTTTTTTTTCTTTTTTCTTCAAATGTTCTTTTACATTTAGTAGAATCATCGCTCGTTCTAAAACACCCTTCTATGTAAAATGTCGATTGAAATATCATATTACTTATTGGCCAAGCTAATAAATAACGGATATAGAGGAATATACTTTCTTACAAAATATAACTGCGAGAAATTCCTTCGTATCAATATACTTCATTAGAGTTTCTCGATCAATCTCCTCTATGCTCTCGTCGGTTTTCTGTTTCACCATCCAATCGAGAACTTCAGTTTCGTCGAGAAGATTACCTGAGATATTGAAGAAAATTCCAATTTGTGTTAATTACTTTACTTACCGCAATTTCTCTCATTCTTTTATTCCTTTTTTTATCAACCATTTGCAGGAGTCGAGAAAGGAGTCCTACGAACGAAGCTGTTGTTTCTGCTTGCACATTTCTTTTTTCTTTTTTCATTTCGATTAATACACATAATTGTAGTTTATACTTACAGATTTAAATAGGAAAAACAATTGGAAATAATTTGAACGTATTGCGACTGAATTATTTCAAAGAACAAAATACTCTGGAATGGCTATTCGAATGATTAAAGTTTTCAAATAATTGATATCACGATGTAACTAATACTGTTCAAAATGAATATAGACCAGAATATATTCATTTCATTATTTAGTGCAATAAATATCGAATTGATAAAGCAATTAAAAGGGGAATAATCACTGAGTAAGTGATTTGTGTAACATGCGAAGGTATAACAAAACTTCAATGTGTTTTATTTGCGTTTTTTATAACAATGATCCATAATTAACATGGACTAAGCAAGATTTTTAACTCATAACTGGTAAACGTAAGTTGGATAGTTTATATTCTTTTTCTGTATGTCTTGATACTTTAATTACATAATAATAATAATAATAATAATAATAATAAACTTTTTTCATTTGTTTATTTAAAATTGTCATCATAGCAGTTATGAGTTAAGGATGTTAATTGATAACTAAATGAGAAACCCATTTATTATCGTATAATAATGTGTTTATTGTTGTACATATCGATTTTGTTCAGATCAACGGTGATAGTTTTCTTTATTTTGTAATTTTTTAATATGTTTTGTTATTAGTCAGTGCACAAATGTCATTTATGGAAAATATTACATATTAAATTGTAATTGTTTTCTCTCAAATATTATTTAACGTTGAAACTTTTCAATATAACTACTAATCATTTTTAGATATGCGTGCAACAGATGACAGATCATTCATTGTGCTCTCTTCTCTCTCTCTCTCTCTATATATATATATATATATATATATATATATATGTTTTAATTATAAATTTATTATTTTCATCAATACAAATTTTTCTTGATAATTTGAAATCTTATTTATTATTTTTATTATTTTTGAAAAATTTTACATATACGTAAAATACGTAAATTTATAAGTACATATTTTTTTTTATGTTTTGTTAATTCTGATATCGATGTTTATATATTTGACACTCTACGTATAATATTGGCGCGTGCAATCCAATAAGCAGAAACATGTTAGTGAGATAAGAGTTAATACTTTTCCACAAGATAATTGATTTATACGATATTAAATTTATGCCCTTAGATTGGATATGTTATATGCAGAGAGCTAAAAACAATAATCATTATGATCAGCACGCAATTCTTTTGTACAATAACGTGCACCGATCGTCAAAATATATGTATATATATATTTTTTAAATTTATTTTAAAGTCTATTAAATGAGTATCATCGATTGCAAACAACAAAGTGTTAAATTGAAATATAAACGCGAAAATAAATCTACTATAATGTTGGAGGAGTGAAAATAAGATAAAAAAAAAATCGAAAAAAAGATATTCCAATGAGTTTTATGTGCGTGATAAAAATTATTATAAATTATGGGATAATTATTTTTTGAAAAAAAAAAAAAAAAAAACATGACCGATTGAAGAAATTGAATAAACTCAATATATATATGATATATTTGTAAATCATGATAGAATTGCGTACGTGAGAAAACGGCAGCCTTTTTTTTTAAGCTTTTTATAATTCGTCTGAGATCCAAGTAACGCAGTCGTTTTCGTTTTTTTCTTTTTTTTTTCTTTTATACAAAAAAAAAAAAAAAGAAAACCGAGTCGCTAAAACAATAATCGCGTGATAAATCTAAATTTCACCCGACAAAAATAATTGTTCTAATTGTAAGTAAATAATTAAATTAGTATAAAATGTATTGACAACATTTCTAAAATTTTTTTTTTTCTCTCTATTTTTTTGATCATTTATATTTCTATAATGTCTCTTAGGCATTTATTTTGAATATATTATCGATGAAATGCAACAAAAATTCGATTATATATATACATGTATAGATATATACACAGAAATATACACATATATACAGAAATCGATGTGATGTTAATAATTGCGAAGGAACGCAGATATATATATAATATTATTGAGAAAATAAAAGGAAAACCGAGAGACACTATTGAAAAGAATGTGATCACTCTAATCAATTCGAAAATATAATAACAATGAATAAACATCTTAAATAATCAACAATAGTTAATAATAAAATAATAGCGAAGAGGAAAAAAAGGAATTTAAATGAATAAATGAAATTTCGATACATTGATCCACCAAGAAAGAAAAAAGGAAATATATATATATATATATATATA